ATCTATACCTATGCAACACTAGTATCAATGTTTTAGCATTTTTGTGTCTTATCTGTCCGTCACGGACCAACGATTTGTTATGAGATAAAATAGTGGGCTAATTACGAACATGTCCTCTGTAGTATCACCTAATTGTAAATAGGTCACTTACGGTTCTATTTGTTACGAGTAGACCCCCTACAGTATTAGCCTATGTCTTATATGTCTGTCACAGACCAACGATTTGTTATGAGATAAAATAATTGGTTAATTACGAACATGTCCTCTGTAGTATCACCTAATTATAGATAGTTCACTTACGGTTCTATTTGTTGCGAATAGACCCCCTACAGTATTAGCATATACACCTCTTTAAATTTTTTTTGACTTCTTAGAAAGTGAAATTTTAAGAAATTAGCAAATATTGGGTGTCTCATTAAAGGCAATTATAACGACCGGCCATATCCTAAAGTGCAAGATTTGGGTTTTGCATGCAGGAGTTTTTAGGATGCCGCCAAAGAGGCTGCTATCACATTATAAGATTGATCCCAAGAGAAACAGGCTGCTGCTTCTCTCGTGCAACGCTGAAGACATGCTTCTTCCTCGCTCCAACTTCACCTTCTACGGTATATTAGCATTTTTTCCCCAACTCTTTGCTCAAATTTGTAACATGACTATTGCCATTTTTGTCTGAAGTGTCAAATTATAGACACGCCCCTTGTAATTTGAGGGTGTAGTTATTTATGCCGAACAAAAATTTTCACTGTAGACTCAAACCAACTTTTAATTATCAAAATCGACCTATTTTTTTTAATTACCAAAATCGACCCATTTTATGCTACGTAAGCTTAATCTCATTTTCTAATTAGTCGGGGTTGCCAACCCCGACTGTTTAGGAGGTTGTTAAACCCTAATTAGAAACCTTAAATCCGATTTTTAATGCCCTAAACAGTCGGGGTTGGCAACCCCGACTAATTAGGAAATGTGATTAAGCTTACGTGGCATAAAGTGAGTCAATTTTGGTAATTAAAAAAAAATGGGTCGATTTTGGTAATTAAAAGTTGGTTTGAGTCTACACTGAAAATTTGTTCTATTTATGCCCCTAAACTTTTTTGAAGTCTAGACGACATGGTTTCTTCCGTTTGGTTGATATGCTGTATCGATCAGGATTCACGTGCTGATCGATGAATCATCTTTTACTCTCAAATTCATCTGAAAGGGCTAATTAAATTGTTCTTTGAAATGAGAATGGAAAATTAAGACTTAGGTTGTTACATTTGGCAATATATCACTCAAAATTAAGACTTAGGTTGTTACGTAATTCTTCTTGCTGGCTGCAGAATTTGACTCCAACTTCAACCTCGTCCAAAAGAAAGACTTCATCATCCCCGACCACCTAATGATCCACGACTGGGCCTTCACCGACGACCACTACGTCATCATCGGCAACAGAATAAAGCTCGACATCCCAGGCTCAATGCTCGCGGTCTCCGGCTTGTCACCGATGATCTCAGCCTTATC